TTATCTCTTCTGGCACTTCTTCAATCTTCCATACCACAATCCGCAGGTTTGATTTCGATTCGTAATGGAAAGTATTACTTTTCTTAATCAATTACAATAGCTGACATGCTGTACGGAATTCTTCCACACCTTTTTAAAATTGTCTTTGCGATACTGAACTTCTCCGATTTATTGATAGGCGGAAGTATGTATAGACCTTTCGCTTAGTAACATTTTTGCTCGAACGCAAATAGGAAGAGAGACTGGCTTAAAAACAATGTCATTTGAACTGAGTTACAGAAAACTCTTCACTTGAGAAAATAATTGATTTATTGAAGGGTATTATATTCCTTGAGAGTTCAATTTAAAAATATCCTTTCAAATACACTATGAATATGGTGTTTTCAGGAAAAATCTTACAGACAGAAAGGAAATCCTCTGCCTGTAATGTTTTTAATTTCATCATTCCAACAAATTCTTTACTCTTCATTTTGATCTCACATTGGATTAGCAACTTACACGTAAGAAGTTTCCTTCGCATTTGAGTATCGCCTATCTACCAACTTCTGTTGTTTTTGATGGTTCCGAAACGTGGAATTCGAAATGTACAACTTACTTTTCTATAATTTAAAATTGTTCACTTTCATAACACTATTCTTGGATGTCATGCCAGGAATATATCCAATTTATACTTAGAGCATATACAGAGTTATATACACAGTTATATGCGCTTGAACTTATTGATTCATTCGCTTGTTGCATCGTTTTCAGTCCATAAGTTTGTAACTTCTTGAAATATGTACATCTCTATTTCTTTCGAAGATTGTTATGATGACAGCTGTAGAAAAATTACCACTGATCTATTAAGTGAATATTATTCTCTATTCTCTTCTCCTTTTTTCTTCTCTCCTTTTCTCTTCTGTTCACTTCTCTTTCTTGTGTTTCATCTGTGTTCTAAAAAATTACCAATACCTAACAAAAAGGGTTTGAGTTAATTATATAGACAAATATATTTAAATTCCTTCAATGATTGTTATAATGTCGTCATAACAAAAATATGTATTGAGCTCTCAAATAAGTATCCCCGTATTTCTAAAGATAGCGCGAAAATAATTGAAGATGGTCTGGGATAGCTTAGATAGTGTGTCAACTCTGACAATTTAACTGGAATCACAATAGGGAATAGTAGTCTTCGAGCGTAAGTGTCGTAAGTATCTATCTAACCTAACTTGATATATCATTTTTTTTTTCTTAAAGATTTTGATCAACAAAGACTATAGCTGTTATGTTTTCTAGTATAGTTACAATCATACTTTTAGATTTTTAGAAATACTATGTTTCTAATATATCTAAAATCTATTCTAGATATGTTATCAACTTGTTATATGTTTGTTTAATATCATGTTTCTATTGCAGCTAAATCTACTTTTGTTAATGAAATTAAAGTTTTATCGTTTTCGTTAGGATAAGCTGATTTATGCATATTAAATAGTTTGTTTGTTAACATTTTACATATAAAACATATGACACATACTTCAAATTTTAGTAATTTCCCTTGTGGGAAATTTATTTTTAAGGGTTGCATTTTTCGCCTTAAATGAGCTAATTTATTGATAATGAGCTCATTTAAGGCGCTAATTTATTGATAATAAGGTCATTTATATGAAAGCTATTTGTATGGTAAATCATTAGTGACTATAATGAGCTAAACCGCCTAAATGAGACAGTATGAATTATGAGCCCATATTTAGATAGAGATAATGTTTAGAGCTTTTTTTGATTATCTGTCACAATTTTTGTTACAATTTAAATACTACAATTTCAGGTTAATATATTTTATTACTCCAGAACTGTGACAGAATAGTATTTCATCATTTTACAAACATGATTGATGTTATTTTCCTTTAGTTTTACTTAATCCTTTCAACTGTTATCTGTGCATTATCTACAGTTTAATGTATTTCAATTGATTACTCTGACAATTTTGTTACTCGGCTCATGCCTTTTTGCTTATTTCAATCAAATTGTAGGTCAATTATCAATTTCTTCGACATATCCTCGACATGTCGCATATCCTCGAGCGCCAAACCCCAAGTAAAAATCATTTCAATAAAATGGCGATTTGCCAAGAACGAAACAACAATTGAATCCTTTTATGCATAAGCAATAAACTTTAATAGATTATCCTTTTTGTTATTTTCTTGTTGCTGTTGTTGTTGTTGTCATCCATAGATGTACTGCAGTTTTGTGTAAAGAATCAATGTAAATATCATTGCAATTTCAAAAAAAAAAAATCAAAATAAAATTAAAGTGAAATATAAAATTAACATGATTCAATCGAATGAAGTGCAAACAAGTTTAAAAAATAATTGTCAGAATTGTTAAAATCGTTAAAGTAATTGTTTTTAATGACTTTTTAATTTTTATAAATATTTGAAGTAAGCATTCGAAAGATATTTGGTTTGTACAAGAAAATAAAATACTTTTAAAAATTGTTAAACTATAGTTTCAGAGAGGAAATGTTTTGAACAGTAGTAAATTACAAAAACAAAATTTTATTATTTATTCGTTAATTTAATTTTTCACTGACCATACACAGCTGTTTCGAGTGGTGCCAAATATCCATTATTAGTGGTCTTGAAATTATTCCTTATATTTAATAATTCGTAAATAATTTTTGAGTCTGCAAGTATCAAGAATTGAACTCGTGCCCTGCTAAATTTGAAGCTCAGAGTCAGTGTTCATTAGCCAATTGACTCAAAGTCAATTTGGTACTTGACTTGTATATTCGAACTTAGAGATTTATAAATTAACTGTGATAATGTTATTAACAAATTCACTTCCATTGCTGGATAGATTATACTCGACAAGGGCTATTACCTATTCCCACAACATATTTTGATTTAAACTGTAATCTAACCATAGTACTGTAGTTAGTAGAACTCTCTTACTCTATCTCTCTCTCTTCATTGCATACGCCTATCTGTCTCTTTTTTACTTTATATTAAGAATATATTAAAGCCTATCGCAACAGAAAAAATATTGATGAGATTGAATATCGACAAGGGCTCATATAAAGGCAGTATGGTCCTTGAAACCACACTTGCAAGATTCTCTATAGTAACAAGATTTTCAGCGCCTTCACTTGATATCTCTAGATATGAAATACGATCCCCCGCTTGTTTGTTGTATAAACAAATTTTATGAATCGATTTGATTTTTAAAGTTTAAAGTAATTAATTGAAACTATTGAACATATATTTTCAATACGAAAATCTTTATTTAACTATAATTACATATAATTACAATATATTAAATAAATATTATTTGGACAGCGTGATTCAACACCTTCAGTTAACATCATTAAGTAATACATATACAATTAATACATAAAACAGTTTTTTTTTTGTTTTTGGTATAAAAACTAATTACGTTATTTTTTCTACATTTACATAATTTTTTATTTAATTATAAGTTAAACTCTAATGTAAAAAATACTTCCACTTTCTACTTCATTTAAAAATGCTTTACAGCAAAATGAATATATAAAAAATTATTAATGCTAAACGCTAATTAAAATATTTATAATGACTTCATACATTTACAATATCAATAAAATGACAATTTTTTTTCTTGCATAAAAAAGTAATTTATGTAAATGATAGAAAAAAATCATAATTAACACACATCAAAGTCACATTTTTTTTATAAAGCCAAATAATCTCTACTAAAAAAGTGAATAAATAAATATTAATTAAACTGAAAGCAAACAGTTTTGAGCAAACAGTATATAGCTTAAAAATAAATAATAATTAAATTTATATTTAATATCATACAAATTAAATTTACTAAACTTAATATAATTGAAATTGAGAAATTAAATTTTCAATTAAATTTTAAAATAAATTTCCAATCAAATTTTAAAATAAATTTAAATTAAGTTTTAAAGTAAATTTGGATTAAGTTTTGAAAAAAACCTAAATTAAATTTTAAAATAAATTTCTTATTAAATTTTAAAATAAATTAAAATAAAATTTTAAAATAAACCTACAATTTAAAATAAATTTGAATTAAATTCTTAAATAAATTAAAATAAAATTTTAAAATAAATTTCCAATTAAATTTTGAATGAATTTGTATTCAATTTTAAAATAAATTTCATAATTAATTTTAAAATTAATTTAAACTATATTTTAAAACGAATTAAAATAACATTTTAAAATAAATTAAAATAAAATTATAAATCAAATCAAATCAAATTTTAAAATAAATTTCATATTAAATTTTAAAACAAATTAAAATAAAATTTTAAAATAAATTTCCCAATAAATTTTGAAATGAATATGAATTCAAATTTTAAAAAAAAATTTCATAATTAATTTTAAAATAAATTTAAATACAATTTTAAAATAAATTTAATTTTAAAATAAATTAAAGTGAAATCTTAAAATAAATTTAAATAAAATTTTAAAATAAACTTAAATAAAATTTTAAAATAAACATAAGTTAAATCTTAAATTAAATTTTAAAATAAAATCAAATCAAATTTTATATAAAATCTAAAATTTAATTTTAAAATAAATTTAAATTAAATTTTAAAATACTTTAAATTAAAATTTTCAAATAAATTGAAATTAAAATTAAAAAAAAAATTTAGATTAAATTCTAAAATAAACCTAAATTAAATTTAAAAAAAAATTTGGATTAAATTTCATATTAAATTTCAAAATAAGTTTCAAATTAAATTTTAAAATAAACCTAAATTAAATTTTAAAATAGATTTGAATTAAATTTTAAAATAAATTTAAATTAAATTTTAAAATAAATTTAAATTAAAATTAAAAACAAGTTCAAATTAAATCTTAAATTTAAAAAAATCTAAAATTAAATTTAAAAATTTATTAATCAATTTTTAAAAATTTAAATGAAATTTGAAATTAAATTTAAATTGTAATAGTTGTAAACTAATGGTTACATTTTGTTTTTAAAAACTATGGAATGTTTAAATTCTTAAACTCTAAATTTTAATTGTTTACATGTGCAGAACATTCTGAATTTAATATTATTAACTAAACTTACAACCCGGCAGATTCGTAAGTGTGGCACACAAATGGCAGTAAGGAAAATGAGAATCGCAAAAAAAAAAACGAAACGAAATAAAAGAAACTCATTTTTAATTAAAAGCATCTAATTTTCTCAGTCGTTGTGGCAATTGCATTTCCAACATTTTAATTAAATTTTTATTTATTCTGGTCGTTTCACAATTTCCGTATTTGCTATTACAAATTCTCAAACATTATGTGAATTTTCTTCACGATTTTCATATGCCCAGAATTTGTGAAATTCAATTAGTATGGAGACAACAGTTTCAGCTTGTCCACTGCAATTAAATAAGTAAAGAAATTTAATTGAAATAGCAACTAACAGCCAGCAAATGGCAACTGGCAACTGGCAACCGACAACCGAGAGAAGAGCGGCACTTGGCATACCAGCAACAACCACACACAGACTCACACACACTCACACACCACACACCCACAGAGAAGATGAAATATTATTATTAAGTTGTGGCAAGTGTTTTTGAAACCTTCTTTGTGCAACTTTATAAAAACTTACCAATTAATTAAATCCTGTAATGTAATTTTGTAGGGATCCTTTGATTTGACCATATCAAAAATTTCATCTTTCAGGTCTTCAAAGTTTACCGCATCAGCATTTACAGCGCGTATTTGCTCCTGTATGCCTTTGAAAAAGTAATGAAGTGTCTGTGCGGTCAGGTAGCCCTTGTGCTGGACATCTAATATACGGAATAAGTAATGCAGCGATTGTGGTTCATTGCGATTATCAAGTGCAAGTACAAAATCAAGAAATGTTTTATAATCCATTTCGCCATCAAATGTCCGACATTCATCAAATACACGATCGAGGAAGACAGATGTCAGTGTACCACTGCCATAAGCAGCTAACTCTTGCTTACTCAACATTCCATTATGGTCTTTATCCAAATTAAGATAATTTCCATACACACTCAACACTGACGTCATTGAGAACCAATTTCTCTCTTGTTCTTCCTTCGTTGTTTCATCACGCAACTCCAACAGCTCAGCCAGCAGACCAGAGGCCAATATATCACGTATGCGTATACGTCCAGTGTGTAGCGGATCGAGAAAGAAAAAGAATTTTTTCACCACCGTACAAACATAGAAACTATGAAAAGATGGTTCGACGGAAATTTGTGACAAAGTCGGTATAATATCAACAATATAATTTTCCATATCGATTTCACGTAAAAAACCCTGCCCAGTATCATCGTAGAATGAAAGTCCTATGCGACCCTGCATTAGCCATACTTTTCGCATAGTATAGTTAAATATACTAACAATTTCCACTTTACCTTTAAGAAAAATAAAAATAATCTTTAATGGTTTATTAAAGACAACCAAATAATATGAAGTCACCTACCTGGATAACCTGAACTGCACTGCAATTTGGCAAACAGACGCGCTGTTAAGAATTTGCGGCATTTTTCACTCACCGCTTCGATTACTTTTAAATATTCATCATAACCAATCAATTGTTGTCCAAGCGGTGTTATCTGTGTGCACTGCTTCTCCAGTATGCCCCATAGTGCATTCAACTCTTCATTGTCCAGCAATTCTTGGGAACGTTTCTGTAAAAACAGCGAATGTGCCTCCTTACGCAAATTCTGTCGCAGTGTATCGGTCAGTGGTGGCGGTGCATGAAAAAACTTTGGTATTGTGGCAAAAGTGGGATGTGTTGCTTCTTCTCTTACTTTAATGTGTGCATTTTCATCAAAATTACTGATTTCCTCCAGGGTTGGTCGTTTTGTTGACACTTCCAGACTCTCGAATTCTACTACAATATCAGGATCCAATTCAATCATTTTATTAAAATGGTTTAATTTTTTGCACACTTTTTAGTTTTATTATTTGAATTTAATATAAAATTTAATTTAATTTAGATATTTAGCCAAAAATTCTTGATATGCAATGCACTTTGCTATTTCCATATACTCTAATCAGCTGTTCGTGAGAAATGTCAAGATGGCTAAAAAGAAAGATCAAAAAATAAACAAATGGAGAGCTTCAAGAGATCAAATAAAGAGTTGCCAACACTACGATAAAAAACTTTTTCTTGTAGACATTAGCCGCTGCAAAAATTTTATTTGAATTTTAATCGCAAGTATAAGTATATTATTCATAATATGTATATGTAATAATATGTATATCAAGTATATTATTAATTTAGTGTTTTAGATATAATATAACAAAGATTAGTATATTTATTTTGATTTACATAATCATTCAATTATTGAATTTTCCTCAGAATAAGTTTTTTAAGTTAAAAAGTTTCATATGCAGTAATTTTTTGGTTGATCTTCATTCTTGCAACATACATATGTATATAAAGCGCAGACATTTCCAAAAACGATAATTACTGAATATTGAAACCATAGAAACAATTATGTTTAGATAGTGAAATAAAACTCACAATCCTAATTTTTTTAGTCTAATATTTTTATAATGCTCTTGTTCTATATATGGTATTGTCTGGGTTTCTTTGCAATATAGCTTCCGCTACACAGCAAAAACAGGACAAAAACTATATCCCTATTTTTGCACTTCTTAGGATATGTGGTTCATAGCTTGACTTAATGTGTTTAACTCTCCAATAGAACTATCATTGACAGATGTCGCTGCATTATTTTTTCACATGTCATTCTGACGGTTCTCGTCCACGCTAATGATCTTCGATAAATTTATACAAATAATATCGCTAGATGTCGCTAAAAACTATTTCGTTGTTTTAGTTAGTTTTTAGTTCTTAAGCTTGGCTTTAAGAATTAAGAAATAGTTCTTAGCGATATATTGCTATTATATTATTTATATTGCTGCTATTATTATAAATATATTAACCACGAAGAAGTTAACTATTAACTGAATATAGCTTGTTTTTAAATTTTTGTGAGTTTGTTCTTTTATGTTCTAATAATATAATTAAATTTTAATTAAGGAACTCATAATATAATTATTTAATTATTATTTTCAGGTTCCAATATTAAAGTAGCCTCAGCAATTTTAAATTGCATATTAGCTCGACAGTTATGTTTTGAAGATCCCTCATGTTCTGCAATACTGGAAATAATTCCACGTGTATGTGGACCCATACCAGGTAAGAAAAGAATTTTTTATAATAATAATATATCTTTAATATAGCAAATTTCTTTTATTTAAAATGAGGATATTAATATTATCAATAATCAATATAGTTATGAATGAATGTGTGTGACGAGCTTTGTATAACAATAAGCAATAAATGCACTCGAGTGAAGGTGTTGTTAGGTAGTATAGTATTCATATCGGTACACAATAGATCACATTAGTTGCAGTGCATATGGGCCTTAGCCTAATCCAAAACCTCCAAATACCATTGTCCATGGTATTCATAAGTTACCTGAAAGATGGTTAAAATGTGTCGAAGACGATGATCAATATTTTAAATAAAAAAAAATTTTTTAATTTGAAAATAATATATTTTTTGTAACAAAAAAACTAATGCATACGCCTGGTATAGTTGAGTGGTAAAACTTACTCAGAATATTAAACTATTTTAAAATTCTTTAGAAAGTTAGCACTTCCATTTAGCAACAACATAGCATATTCAGCAAAGAATAAGTAATGTTGTATTTTATTTGAAATTTAAAACAAAAATTAATAATATTCTGGCTAAAAGGCTGATGACTATCGAAGATAGTCGATGTATCGGAAAAATATTTTAATGAATTGTTATTACGACCTATATTTATTTAGTTTTTATATTTTTTTACCGTTTTTGCCGTTTGTCATTTTAAATAAACGACTTAAGCCCGGTAAAAAAATATAAAAACTATTTTAATAATATATAAATTGTTTTTAAATATAAATAATAAATCATAGTTTTTTTATTTCTATTTAAATAATCAATTAGTCCGCTAATAAATTATTATATAAAAGTTTAAGCCAATATAATTTCGAGTCTTATTACAAAGTTATTATGACTACGTTGGTGTACCGTACGCATGTGAAATAATTCACCTTACTGTGGTAGAACTCGCCTTGCCAAAGTAATGGTGAATTAAACGCTAACTACTAAAACACTTTTGATGCTGTTTTACAACACTCTTTTTATAAATTATTGCAATAAATTTTTATTAAAATTTTAATTAATATTTTAAAATTGAAATAACTCTTACTGTTGCTTTAAATCATTTAAATTACTCATTATTATTTCACTTTTATTATACTTGAATTTTTTTTTTCGTTCAATGAGTTTTTCTTGTTCTGTAATTATTTAAATAATTTGCGCGCGCGTGCTATATAACTGTAAACAACGAAACATAACGAAACACATTTGAATTCCCGAATGAGCGTTCAAACGATTTTCTTATTTTCACATTTTTACGTTTACCTTTGCCTTTTTCTTTGCCATTACCTCTGCCATTGCCTTTGCCTTTGCGTTTTCGCCATATCATGTCGAGGTGCCACAACTAAATTGAGTTCCTTTCGAAATTCTTATAAAATTGCGGTGTTCGAGCAGTGAAGCTATGAGAGCGTGCACATATAGTATATAACCTGCCCAAACACACAAATTTTGTAACAAATGTTTAAAAAATGTATATGAATAAAATAAACACACACATATATTAATATAAGCATACATACATACATATAAATATATATGTATGCAATAATGTGTATGTAAATGTTCACCTGAAACAATGGCTTTTGGAAACAAACGGAAAAAATTGAGAAAATTGCACTTGTAAATAATTTAGAAATTTGTTTTGTATTTATATCTTTTTTTTTTATTTAATTTTTTATTTTAGCATTTTTGTGTGTGTTTTCAGCGCCACTGTATTTGGTGTTGTTGTTGTTGTTAGAATATTGATCACTGTTGCCAACTATGAAAATACACTTGTTTCGTTGAAAGCAAAGTACAGTACATAAAAAAATTAAAAGAAATGCTCATTCGTTCGTTTGTTCGTTTTTACGTTCTTATGTTTGTACAGTGAAAACTATGGAAACTGAATTTAAAATACACAAATTAATACACAATCACACAATTACACAATAATTGTTTCTTAGTATTTATAGATGTGGCATATGTGTTGGTGGCCAACGACTCAGGTTAAATTTTTAATGAAAATTGTGGTATTTGTGTTGAAAAATGTAAAGCACATGAAAATAAAGCTTTGAAAAGCAATTTTACTTGAGAGGAAATCGTAAAGGATTTTAATTGTACTTACTTGAGCTTACAAAAAAAAAAAAAACACTTAATGACTTTAATGCTATTTAATGCAAATCATTTAAAATAAGAAATAAATTAGAGTATTCTAGAAATAATAAAAGAAAATAATATAAAACCAAATAAAGCTGTTAAAAGGTCGGTAAAGGATTTTAAATGCAAATGGAAATTAGTTCTCTTGAATCATTTTAAATTCGTTAGTTTTATATGTTAGCAAATATAAATACAATAATGATTAAAGTATTGAAGTATTAAAATATTGAAAATAATATTATATAAATAATTTTTAAAAATTATACCATTTACAACCCTGATAGTTTATATTTCACTCTATTATTATGATCTATTACTCTATAAAAAACCCTTAATTAAAATATCAAATGTGAACACTTACAAATAAGGTGATTAGGTGTCTCATCTGTCTCCAAGCAGCGTCAACATTCTGCACTTTCAGATAGATCCAACTTGTTGAGATTGTAACAGAGACCATGAAGACCCTTCAAATAACTTGCTGGAAGTTTCAGCTCGGAATGTAGTAATATTCGCATATTGTTATCAAACTTTAAAGCCATTTATATTCTTAAGAAACAGTAAACCTGCCTTTATGAATATTATAGGTTTATCGTCGTAAGTGCATACATCGATTTCTTATAAAAGAAGTTATAAAAGAAGAAATGAAGATTTATTGCTTTTAAAAAATTTCTAAATTAATGTGATTGTCTATTTTGTGCTATGGATTTAAATTTAATATCATTTATGGAATAAGATAGATCATATTTAATTTTTTTGTAAGTTATCGTAATTAATTTATTATTAATATTGAAATATTGATTTAATTTTCTCAGTGTACATGTGTGAACTTGATGCTAATTTCGTAATCTCTATTACGAAATCCAATGCACACTAAAGATTACCTTAATTAAAGCCAACTATGAATTAAGTACAACAATAAGGATTAATATGAAATAAATTAACCATATAAAGCTTTCAATTCGTATACGTTCAACATTTCAAGTGCACGGATTTAAGTGCTCAGAACAATGTAAAAGCCATTAAAGTCATTCTTTGTGCAATTCTGAGAATTCGTCCATTATGGTTCAGATAAACAGATAAAAGCTTTAGCATATGTTGTACTTGTCGATTTTGTAAACAACAGATTTTATTGCTTGTTGCAACAACTGCCAAACAAGCATTGGCATGTACCTAAAGAAGCCAAAGTAATCCTTGCCATTTGGCATGCATTTTATCTTCGTTACGGTTTCATAAATGTTCCAGCAATGAAAAGAAGCTGATACAATCAACACAAATGCGAATATTCAGTACATGCCCATATGCAATTGCCACACAACTAAATATATTACTATAGCTGTATCTATCAGTATCAGTGTCTATCCGTCTATCTACTCAGCTACTCAGTGATTGTATGTGAGTATTTGCGCAGGCATGCATGTTGAACATGTATTAACTTTTAAGTACCTGGCAACATGTGTAATTGTGCCACTTACAACTTCTGTAAATTGCTTTTATGCGTTACGCATAAAAATCGAATTTCCGATTTCGGATTCCAAATATCGAAAACTGATGTGCAAATGTAAATGTCTTCACTTTGATTTATCGACTCATTACGTTTTTGCCTGCTACTGAAACGGCAACTGTTCAAAATTACACAATAGTCAATTTTAATTTATTATTTGTTTTTCAGAATTCAGTACTGACACAATTTTCGCATATTGTGACTGCTATAGAAATCAAATATCCTTTGAAAAAACAATATAATACATTTCCTAAAATATATGTTTACTTATAGGCAATTTTACACAATAATTTATTGTGTAAGTATTTACTGTAAAAA